TTTCCCCTGGCACCCTCAAGGGCTCCCCCAGAAGTCTGGCAGGTGAAGGGGTATGCTGCAGCCCTAAATTATTGGGTTGGTCAAAAAGTTTGTATTTTTCCATAAGATGATATGGAAAAATATGAACCAATTTGTTGGCCAACCCAGTATTTGACATGAGTATCATGGACTTTGAGGCACTGTATTTCCAAATAATTAAGGGGTCAGAAATTCTGGATTTGCACTTCTCTGTGACCAATTATTATCTGCATAACACACTGAAAAGTCACACACTTTTTAAATGTTAGTGGTTACCAGGGTTTTGGAGGACATCTAGTTCTCCATCAAGACTCTCACTTCCCTGGAAGTGTATTCCTACCGCAGTTTCCCTTATAAGTAAGGATAGAGTGTGGTAGTCGCTCAGTCATGTCTGACTATTTGTGCCCCTATGGACTGCAGCCCGACAGCCTCCTCTGTCCATGGGATTCTCCAGGCAGGAATACTGGAGTGGGTTGCTATTCCCTTCTCCAGGGGATCTTCCCTACCCAGGGACTGAACCCAGGCCTCCCACATTGCAGGCAGATCCTTTATCATCTGAGCCACCAGGGAAGCCATGAGTAAGGATGGTGGACATATATTTGTCTGATCAGCGACTTTTCCTTGGTAGAACTTTTGGGGAAGTTTATGTGAAAAGCAGTGAGCCTCTTTTTCATATTCTGGGTTGGGACCAGTGGCTCATGGTAAGTGGTGATGAAACAGTTATTGTCTCTGGTCTCCTGGGAATGCCTGCCTATTGAGAGGGAAGCATGGAACTAGTGAAACAATGGCATCATCTAGAGGTTTCAAATTGAAGAATGGCTCCATTCTCTCTGGATGCAGTGGCCAGTGAAAAGTAAAGTGAAAGTCACTCAGTCGTGTCCGACTCTTTGTGACTCCATGGACTGTACAGCCCATGGAATTCTCCAGGCCAGAATACTGGAATGGGTAGCCTTTCCCTTCTTCAAGGGATCTTCCCAACCCAGGGATTGAACCCTGGTCTGCCACATTGCAGGCGGACTCTTTACCAGCTGAGTCACGAGGGAAGCCCAAGAATACTGGAGTGGGTAGCCTTTCCCTTCTCCAGGGGATCTTCCCAACCCAGGAATTGAACTGGGGACTCCTGCATTGCAGGTGGATTCTTTACCAACTGAGCTATGAAGTTATCTTCCATTGTCGAGAAGATGGAGCCCCATTTTTAAATTGTGTTTATGAAAATAAGAAAGTGGGCATGCACAGGATGGTGGGGAGAAGAGGAGGGCCACACACCAAATTGTTCATTTGGGGCTCAGCTTCCCTCTTGGAGTTGCCAGCCCTGCTCCTCATGATCCCACCAGATGCTTCTCTTACCCGGACCAGCCCTGTCTAGGAGGCAGAACTTATGACCAAGTTAGACCAGTCAGAATTGTGTCCCCCAGGTCCTGAATCTGCAGTTGCACAGGTGGAAGGTGACTGTGGTTGAGGCCCCCACGACACTGTTCAAAGAGGAGGCCATAAACGCCTGATGCTACTGAGCCTTCTAGGACTAGAGCTGCCCTGGGTCTGTTATTTCTGAAGCCGTGATGCTCAGCTTTTCCATTTGATTCAGAGAATGACCCAGAGCCCTTCCAAGCAAACTTCTAGTCCAGCCCATGACTTGGACGACATACAATTTAACACAAGATGTGTTATTGATGACCTTCTAGGCCACCAGATGCTGTGCCAGATTCTTTCCGATATATAAAATTTCACTTCTAACCATAAGCAGAGAACTGAGACCATCTCACTATTCCTTAGACACATCTGAGCGCTGTAGCCTCTGTCTCTGTAGCTATGCCTGCTTGTTGGTGTAAAGACAGCCCAGAAGCCCTCCAAACCTAGAGTAGACTAGTTCTGAGTATTTTGCCTCATTTCCAAGCCTTTTCCCATGTGATTAAGTTTGTGTTGTCCCCTGCAGTAGATACATGCGTGGGTGCCTGCTCAGTCATGTCCGACTCTTTGCGACCCTATGGACTGTAGCCCACCAGGCTCCTCTGTCCATGGGATTTCCCGGGCAAGAATACGGGAGTAGGTTGCCATTTCCTTCTCTAGGGGATCTTCCCAACCCAGGGACTGAACTGGCATCTCTCATGTTTCCTGCACTGGCAGGCGGATTCTTTACTGCTGAGCAACCTGGGATGCCCCCCATGGTAGACACCACTTCTAAACATCCTTCTCTGGATTATTCTCCTTTCCTTGTCCCCCTCCCCACCACCCCCCAAAATACTTTCTCTCAAATCCTTGTCTCTAGGTCTGGTCCTGTGAGAAACCAGAAAAAGCCAGGGGCTGCAATGCTGGGTCTCTGTGAGGCTGTGGCTCAGAATCCGGCGCGTATCGGCCAAGTGTGAACGCACCCATTTTATGGATGAAGACATCAGGAGGCAGGGATCAGCCTGCTGGTAGACGGTATTTGCAGGATGGCAATTAGAATTTACCCTGCGTGACAACTCCCGCCCATCGCCTAGACTAGGGTTCTCAACCTGGGCCCTGCTGACCTTTCAGGTGGGATGGGTCTTTGCGGGGTGGTGAGAGTAGGGGGTTTGTCCTGTGTGACATAAAATGTCTAGCAGTATCCCCTCTCCCAGTTGGGACAAGCCAAAGTTGGCAGATGGTCTCCAAGTTGCCAAACTTTGCTGGGAGGAAAGGAGGGCTCCCCTGGGTCGAGGACCACTGGCCAAGAGAGTTGGAAGACAGCTCAGTGGTACCTCGGGATCCATGCTGATGCGGGAAGGCAGAGTGGCCCCATACACGCAGCTTTCTCACTGAGCCTGCGTAAACCTTTATCTGGGCTTCCCTGGTGGTTCAGCTGGTAAAGAATCTGCCCACAACTCAGGACATGGGGGTTGGATCCCTGGCTCCGGAAGATCTCCTGGAGGAGGAAATAGCAACCCACTCCAGTGTTCTTGCCTGGAGAATCCCATGGACAGAGGAGTTTTGGCAAGCGACAGTCCATGGGGTCACAAAGAGCAGGACACGACTGAGGCAACTAACACACACACAAACTTTTATCCAGTCTTGCATCTTCTGGCTCTAAATCTGGCCCACTTTCCATCATGCTAGGCTCCCCGTGATCAGTTGTTTCGGGGCTCGGCTTGTTACAGAATTCTTTCCGATTGTGCCCAAATCTGCCTCCTGGAAACTTACTTCACCAGTACGCCCCGTAGAGCCATGCAGAGGGCTAATCCCTCCCAGCCGGCTGGCACTTCAACTATGTGAAAACAACCCACTTGTCCCCTGCCCTGTCGATGGACAGCTACTGCCTGCCGGCTGCTATAGACAGGCTAGGAACAGTTGTCAGGCAGGGGGTTCAAACTTCTAGGCTCTTTCTTGGACCAATGGCCAAGAATTCCCAGGAGCGGAGAGTCTGTGTTCTGTAAAGACTCCAGGTAGTTCCTATGTACCCCATCCACAGTTCAGCGTTTAGGAACCTTGGACCAACTTATTCCAGTTCCGGGCAGTAGACTTCTGATTTGTTTCCTAAAGCAGCTACCAAAAAGATGGATTCTGAAAGCAGTATTAAAAAGCAACTCATAAGATGATAGAATATTTCATAGTAGGTCAAAGAGACACATACTTCTATCCGGTTTCATTTTCAGTCAAACAGCTTTTATAAGGTTTATACAAAAAAAAAAAAAGCCTAGAAGTTGACATTAAAAAATGTTGGCCAGGCTTCCTTTCCCAGATATGAGAATTAAAGTTATCCAAAACATCTTTTTTTCCCTTTGTCCTTTTCTTCATTGTAAGGCATGCAGAATAAATGTGTGTGCATGTAAACATGTACACCCACATAATGGTATAACTTGCAATCAGTTTTGAAGAGTTACCTGTGGAAGTGTGATGATGGCCCTCTGACTGCTGTCTCTACAAGGGGTGATGATACCTGGTTGAAAGGAGTCACCAAAGTGCAGGACGCCACAGTCAGGACTGGACCATTTGGGGAAAAAGAGAGCATTCGAACCGAATGCCAGACTTGAAAAAGACTGCAGGTCACCTCCTTCGTTTACGGGGGGAGGAGAGAAGATAGTCAGGAGAGCAGAGCATGTCTAGATGAAGATCCAAAGTGAAAAGAAATGGACTGGAGGAAAAAAAGTGACAGCAGAGAAGAGGCTTCCAAATCAGGGTAACAAATAAATATAGGCTCAGATCTTTTCAAACTAAATCATTCACTCAGCTCATTGGTTAAGCATGGTGCCTCGTATATGTGAAGGACTATTTAAATTCCTATTTGCCTAAGGCTTTAGTTGACAAACCCTATCTACTACTCTGAGCGTTTCCAGGCTACCTAATTTTCCTCTTTTTTAAATTGCCCTTTATTTCAATGAAATCAATGACAACAGCTTGCTTTTTTCTGGAAAGAGTTTTCTGACTTCTCATTCACTCCTGCCCCAGCTAACTTTACTCTTTATATGACTGTAAGCCTTTCACTCAAGCCCTTTCTTATGGATAGACATTCTCCAGTCCTCCTCTGGGCAGAGTCCTCTGTTATTTTTGGCTGCTGGAATCGGGGTCTAGGAGAGAGACCACTCCAGGCAGGCCGTTTCACTCCCCCACCGGAGCTGGGCTAATGAGCATCCAGTGTGCAGGTTTGTATGAAACCCCAACTGTCCACCCTCTACTTCTCTTCAAAGTGAAACGTTAAGTCTGCATTTCAGTCCACATCACAGCCACTGGATACCATACAGAAAAGGGTCTAGTCTGTTGCTGTGATTTTCTTCATCTTTTTGAAAGTGATTCATTCTCATGTTGAAAAAATTGTATGTGTGTATGTGTGTGTGTAAGAGAAAACTGAGAAAGTCACAGAGAGAAGGAGAAAATTCTAGCAAAACAATATGTCTGGGTACTGGTGGGTAATGCTACCCTAAATAACTTGGACTTCCACTGGCTGGCTTTTGTTCATAAAATGCTAATCCACTCAGGTGCAGACCTATATAAGACATTGGGGACTCAAGGCTGTATAGAAATCTCAACTCTCTTCTGCTACATAAGGTAAAGATCTGTTTAAACTAACAGTCTGAAATCATTTTGAAGGTACTAACAAGAAGTCCTTTTCAGAACTTCTCTATTCAATACTAACATATGATATAGAGCCTACAGTGTGTTGAGCTAACAATGAACACTAGGTAGATTACTGTAGTTATTTTCAAGGTTGCTTTTTGGAGGAAAAGTTAATTTTTCATGTCAACTACAATAATGGGGAAGGGAGTCATCTCATGCCACAAGAAAAATTATTACTTGTTATCGAACTGAAAACAGATCTCCTTTCCTTGCATGCAAAATGAAGAAATGTCTTTAATTTGATGCTCGGGGTCCCATGGTGCTGGGAGGGTGTCTTGTAAAGAGCATTGTCTTGATTATTCTCTGGCTTTGGAGATGAGAGTAGCAGCTAATACTGTATGTGTGAGAGGCTTTGCAGAGATTACCTTGATTAATTCCTACAACCATCATCTGATATTAGAATCACCATTATCTGCATTTTCAACAAAGATAGTACATGGCAAAGGCAACATCCAGATGTGGGGTCCGTCCCTGAGTACTGAGACCCCTGTCCTGAAGATCCCTAGGTACTTACCAACAACCAGTCAGCTATCTTTTAGGGGAACAATTAACTTCCTGGAGTTGGGGACAAGTTGAAAAGCTGAAGCAAGTAAGTATCTGCAAGAGAAAAAAACTTCTTGAGTCGGCAAACTGGGTAAATATTTGTTTGATTCTTTATTGTTGCTGTTCAGTCCCTCAGTCGTGTCCAACTCTCTTCTGCCCCATGGACTGCAGCGTGCCAGGCCTCCCTGTCCTTCACCATCTCCTGGAGCTTGCTCAAACACAAGTCCACGGAGTCGGTTGATCCCACCTAACCATCTCATCCTCTGTCGTCCCCTTCTCCTCCCACCTTCAATCTTTCCCAGCATCAGGATCTTTTCCAATGAATCAGTTCTTTACACCAGGTGGTCAAAGTATTGGAGCATCAGCTTCAGCATCAGTCCTTCCAATGAATATTCAGGACTGATTTCCTTTAGGATGGACTGGTTGGATCTCCTTGCAGTCCAAGGGACTCTCAAGAGTCTTCTCCAGCACCACAGTTTGAAAGTTTGATTCTAGAGCAAGTGAAAATGCTAAATTACATTCACAGCAGCCTCCATGTTTGAAGCCCTGCTGCACAGGAAGTGCACACAGCCCTTCCAGGTGCAGAATAATTAGTAACCATGTGGCCAGTGCGGCTGGCTGCTGTCCGAGGCTGGCCAGAAAAAAATATGATGGGGCAACAGTGGAGTGTAAAAGCCGATAAGGAAAATGATTTACATTTTGTTTAAAAAAAAAAAAGTGGAAGACTAGAAAACATCCCTGTGACAACTAAGCGTTATGAGTCACTTTAGGGAAAAAATCAGCCAGAAAACCCATGGCTGAAATGAGACAACTTGGGCTGCGTCCCACCTCATGGTCAAGAATGTGGCTCCTGCAGTTGGACCTCCTGGACCGGATTCTTGGCTCTGCCTCTGGCCGGCTGCGTGATCCTGGGCTGCTTTCGAGTCTCTCTGTGCCCGAATTTCTCTCATCTGAGAAGAGGCATAATAATAGCATCTGCTTCATAGGTTTGCTGTGAGGATGAGACGAATCGATACGCTCAAAGCACAAGAACAGAGCTTGGCAGCAACACATGGATTCCCGCAGGAATGCCACGCGTTCTTGTTTGGACGCTGAGCGATGATCCCCCCAGATAGGTCCTTTTTTTTCCCTCCGTGAATCGGTAGGGTTTTCCTGAGCTGCTTTTCACTTTTGCTCTCCTGTTTCCCACCACGGCTCTAGAAGGTAGGCAGGTATCATTATCCCTCCCTTTATGCTGATGAGGAAATGGCACGGAGGAGATTAAGTCACCAAGAGTCAAATTGGGAAGCCAAGCGGCTTCCTGGCGCTCAGCCCCTAGAGCTTTCTACTGTCTTGCGCTAAAGCCTCAGATGGAAAGGGAGCAGTCTTGCCTTTGGGCCAAATGCATGATGTCATCAACCCTCGATCCACAAGATACCCTCAATCATATGTACGGCTGGGTCAGGCTTTCTTCGTCAACATGCAGTCCCCAAAGCTCTTAGAGATACGCTTCAGACCGCAGCGAGGCAGCGCCTGTCTCGCTACCAGAGGCTGTTTCTGCCTTTCTCCAAGCACAGGAAAGTTGGGGTAATGTTTCCTGGTCTCCTTCCACTTTGCTCTGCGGCCCAGGATGGCAGCTCGGGGTGGCTGCTCTCTTCGTCCAAGGAACTAAGCTGAAAAGCAGGTGTTCTTTCCGGCTCAGCAGATGCTAAGGCGATAAGCTGCACCTTCTGGAGGCTCTGGGCAATTCAGACCCGGCAGAGCGCTCGACCTGGCCGGCTCTCTCCTCCCCAGCGGCCCCGTGATGGATGCGTGTCTGAGCTCCGAACAGCAGCCCCGGCCCCTGGACGAGGCTCCGAGCCCCCCGGATGACGAGGCTCTGCACACAGATGGCACCAGCAGACCCCCGGGAGGTAACCTCCTTCCTCACCTCTCCACCCTCTCACTTCTTTTCCTGGGGATGGCATTTTCCAGTGAGCCTCAGGGGCCAGACGGTCCATTTCCTTTTAACTCTAGATCTTTTTCTGATCATGAAACGGTAGAAGAATGCCTTTATGCCAGCAGAAGCATGGCAGTAACGGTAATAATCCCTATGTTTTGTTATTTACCTATCCAGGCACACAACTTTGTCTTCTCCAAATTCTAGGAGAGTCAGATTTTGGTAACAAGAGCTTTAAGAAAAGAAATGAAATCTAGATTCCTTCCTGCTCTTGGCCAAAATGTATTCCTGGCAGCTGCAGTCTACAGTGAATCCTCACAAAGCCATTTTCCCATTAGGACAACATAACCATTCAGGCTTGCATTTCTGGACAGTGAATCAGTAGAAAATAAGTAACAGACATAACAAATGATGTCATAAGAGCCAAGTTATAACATTCGAAACATGTACAGTCATTGATCATGGGACATTCTGTTTCAAATCTGCTAAACCAGGACGGTATTTATTTTTACTAAGTTGTTTACATAAAAATGCGACTCTGCCTATCTCCAAAAGCTGACCTCTCTAAATCTATCAGGTGAGCGTTTGTGTGTGTGTGGGTGTGTGTGTGTGAGTCGCTCAGTTGTGTCAAACTCTCAACAACCCCATGGACTATAGCCCGCCAGGCTCCTCTGTCCATGGGATTCTCCAGGCAAGAATCCTGGAGTGGGCTGCCATTCCCTTCTCCAGGGAATCTTCCTGAACCAGGGAATTGAACCCAGGTCTCCCACATTGCAGGCAGATTCTTTATGGTCCGAGGCACCAGGGAAGCTCCCACAGGTGAGCATAGGTACAATAAATGAAAATCATGTGCAGTCAACATAGATTTCTTTATCTTCGTAGCAAGGAAAGGGGTCTTAGAGGAGGATATTTTTATGCCCATGTTTCTTTACAATGTTGACCCAGAAAGGAAGACCATCAGCTTATTGTTTGTCATCCTGTGAAAGGATGAGCCATTTATAAATCAGCCCATTGATTTTTTCTACAGTCTTGAGAGAAAAGTTAGCTTCCATGTGGTGATCTGTGAGAAGGAGAGAAGGACCGGTCTGGCCAACGTGGAGGGGCTGGAGGCTGGCAGGAAGTGCCCTGGGTCCCTGATAGTCTGCCTGCTCCAGTGACCAGAGGCTGAGATGGAAGGAGGGCAGCCCAGGACTCCCTCCTCTTACCTGATGGCCTGGACCAGCTCCTGCATTTTGGGAATTTTTGCAAGCTGGTTTTTAAACATGGCCACTGTTAAAATTTAAGTCATATAAACATACAACAAAATGGATTACATAAAAGGGAAAGTTATATGAAAAAACTTAGGTAATAAATACTCATGTCTCATTATGAATTATCTTCCTACATGTTACGATGATCTGTGCTCTTGAGGCTGTTGGTGGATGTCGCATCCGTGGTAGAAACGCCCATGATGCTCAGCGGTGGCGTCTCTTCCCCAGGGACAGCCATTGGGAGCGTTGTCATAATGGTGACAACCAAACCCTACACGTCAGTAGTTCCTCACAGCTTCCAGCCTGGTTGTTGGATCTTCCTGGGCACCACATGATCTGTTCCTCTGCCTTCTTGCTACCTCTGAAACCAGAACTCAGAGTCAGCCACTCAGCCTATGGGAGAAGATGGGTCCTCTTTGCCGGGTGATAAATTTGAGGTTCATGTTGTTAGATGTCAGTAGCTTCCCATATAAGAAGTTGGTGAGAATCATAGGCCCCCCTCTCTCCCCAGGGTCTCTCCAGGGCACATCACAGGAAAAGAGGATGTCTCAGGACTGACTTGGCCACTGTGCCTCAGCAGGTTCTTCCAGCTTCGAGAAAGTCGGGGTTTCTTGTCTTTGTGGTCTGGACAGAGAATTCTCCTTCTGGGGTGGAATAGTCTAGATTGGAACCCATGGCCGAGAGCTGCAGGCATCATTCTGCTAATTTGCAAACCGTCACTTGGCTCACACTACAATCAAAGACCATTTGAACACTTTTTTATAAAATGCAACACAAATGTTTTTCTGGAAAAACAACACGAAAAACCGTACAAAGGCATACATACCCAGTACAAGCTTCAGTTTTTCATAATCAGATTCAACAGGCATGGTCAAGTTTTTGCAAATGTTTCTAAGTGCTTACTCCACATGTCTAGACTCTTCTGACTGTGACCCTCTTAGAAGGGTTTGCAGAGAAAGCTGCAACAGAGAATTGCTCTAGTGAAGCCAGAATTCAGTGAAACGTGAACTCCGAGGGGCGGACCCCCGATTTGGCTCTTTCAAAGGCCCCCTGCCCCTCACCCTGCACTCGGCCTCCTCTTCCTGCCTGAATGTATATTTCTGGCTAGAGCCCTTCCCAAGCTCACTAACAGCTCCTTTCTGCTCTTCCATCCCTGGGTACCTGTCCCCAGGCACAGCTCAGGCAACAAAGACTGGTCTCATGCACGGTCCCCCCCCAAACTCCTCGCTACCAGCGTCTCCCTGGGGACACCCGCAGCGCCCCCTCTTCTGCACACGACCCCTGCGTGTGCTTAGCCTCCTCATTCTGACCTTTTTACTCACTTCTTTCTTTCATTTTTTTTTAAATGCTGAAACCCTCTGGGAAACCTGTGACATTCTGGGCCTCCATGATGCCATCCCTGATCAGGTGCCCTCTTCCTCCCGTCTTATATGATATCTGAGCGCCGCTCGCGTGGGTCATGAGTGTCAAGGAGTATTTAAAGGAAGAGTAATTTAATAGTCGGGGCTCATCTGACAGCCTCCCCCAGGGCTGTGGAGCTGGCTTGTCTTTGGGTGACCTGTACCTTTTGAGGAGCGGTGGTGGGAGGACTTAAGGAACGTGTTCCAGCCAGCATGTGGGATGTTACTTCACTTCAAGACCTAAAAATAGTCTGGTCCACGCCTGCCCAGGTCCTCCTTATTGCAGACGGCTCGGTCTTGCCATTCTGCTTGGTAGTGTAGCTTCCACCTCTTGCCAAAACAGAGCGAGGGGCGGATTCACACCGCTCTCTGTCCAAAATCGAGGGAGGGGCCCAGGGCATCTGCTAGCATTGTGTCATCTGATAAAATTCCCCATTGGACTGTTCCATCCTAGTCACCCCATGATATTCTGTCTGAGTTAATTTGTGGCCATTGTCACCGATAACATTACTCTCTCTGTTTCTAGAAGATGGCTCAATCGCTTCCCATTTGACTAATTGTACCATTAATTAGTGTATTTGCACTGGACCCACAAATCATGGGGGGCTTTCCTTGTGGCTCAGCTGGTAAATAATCCACCTGCAATGTGGGAGACCTGGGTTTGATCCCTGGGTTGGGAAGATCCCCTGGAGAAGGGAAAGGCTACCCACTCCAGTATTGGCCTGGAGAATTCCATGGACTGTATAGTCCATGGGGTCACAAAGAGTCGGACACAACTGAGCGACTTTCACTTTCGCAAATCATAAAACCTGTTATTTTTGGTCCCACAGATTTTAACGAGATAGAAGCATCGCTTCGAAGCCTCCAGAAATTTGTTCCTACGAATTATGCCAGCTACACCCAGGAGTATTATCAGTTTGTGGGCAAGAAGATTGTCATTCAAGAATCCATCGAGAGTTACGGAGCAGTGGTGTGGCCGGGGGTGAGGGAGCCATGACATGAGGCGTCAGGGTTTCTGGGGATGGGAACAGCACTTTTGTACAACTGTGTTGCCCTGGGCGCCCAGTCAGGGCTTTAACATCTGTGCGTCTCAGATGGAGGGTCCCCGGATGCCCCCAGGGGTGTTGCTCGTGTGCTTAGAAGCTGCAAGAACACATCCTCTCTCCTAGAAACCATTTCTGCCACACTGTGCTTCTTGAAACCCTCTTTTTTAACATTAACATAAACTTGAGCATATTGGGAAGTAGGATGAAAAATTCATATGAATTGTTAAGAAAGAAAATCAGAAGAAAAGTCTTTAGGGTTTAGATTTTGCGGTGGGCAAAATCTCTGGGCCAGGTCTAACAATCTTCAGGGGGTCCCTCGCCTTTTACAGTGTGGCTGAAAGTGAACATGTTAGTAGCTCAGTCGTGTCGGGACTCTGTGACCCCGTGGACTGTAGCCCGCCAGGCTCCTCCGTCCATGGGGTTCTCCAGGCAAGACCACTGGAGTGGTTGCCATTTCCTTCTCCAGGGGATCTTCCTGACCCAGGAATTAAACTGGGCTCTCTTGCGTTGCAGGTGGATTCTTTACCGTCTGAGCCGCCAGGGAAGCCCCGGGGAGGTGGAGGAGGGTTTGCCAAAAGGTGTAGCTGCTCCTTCGGGAGACCCGTCCCCAGGTGGCACCCACCAGGCCAGCTTCTCACAGGGCACGCCCCACAGGAAGGCCGCCTCCGCCACCGCTCCGAAGCCCTCAAATCACACATGAGCCTCGGTGGCCCTGGTGAAGCTCTTCCGAATGCTGAAACCCCCACTCTGCACAATGATCCTTTCTCAAGATCCAAAGGATGCCTCTCCTCAAAACGTCAGTCCCCAGCCGTGAGCTCTTGCCATGGGTTGGATGCTGGAGCCACCTCGCACCTGTGCCTGAGTTTCCATCCCCCCCACTCCCGGCCGCACCCTCCAAGTCCCTTGAGAGGAGCTGAGGATGAAATGGACAGACCCATGGCCTTGGGTCTGCCACCTGCCCTGGGGCAGGCCACCGTGAGTGCGGCCAGCGTGTCTCACCTGATGCTGGAGGCCCCGCATCCCTGCCACTCCAGCCTCGGCCCCAGATAGAAAGTGAGTCACAACGAGCCCCGAGCATCTGTTGGAAGACGAGGGCTAAAGGTGTGTGCACACTTGACTTTCACGCTGGTTCTTCAGCTTAGGACTCATGTTCCCAACCCGGGTCATGCCCTCACACTCACTCCCCCAGTCTCTGTGGCCCCCGGCATCACTAGCTGAACCCCGCGTTGGCTCACACAAAACACCTCCTGCATCCGCACACACCGAATTCCCTTCATCTCCTCACAGACAGGGTAGGCGGTGGGCAGAAAGCAGTGAAGAAAGAAGGAAAGGGACATTTGGTCTTCTGTCTAAAGTGGATCTAAATGTATTCACCTGGGTTTTTTATTTTTGGGTTTGTTTTTGTCTTGACTGTGCAAAGTATGCAATTTCTTGGCTACCACCCAAAGCGTGGTCCATGGGCTGGCTGATTAGAAAGGCAGACTTATTAAGAGTTGCAGTGCTGAGCGCCACCAGACCTACTGCACGCGGCAGGGCGCCTTTAACCAGGCTCCCCAGTGATCCGAGCAAGCACTAGAGTCTGGGAAGCGCTGTCCTACCAGAGTGTCTCTTAGATGAGTCACTTAAAATAAAAATGACTGCCCCGCTGTCCAGTGTATCAGGCAAGGTCCGGGGGGGTGAGGAGAGGAGGGCAGCCTGCTGGCTGATGGGCTCAGGAGGGACGTGTTGGAGAGTTTAGAGCCCAGCGGTCTTCCAGCAGGTGGAGAACTGATGCAACTTGCCCAGGGCGAGGGGCTGCTGTCCTGCGGTCCCTCGACTCCTGCTTCTGGAAGACCTGAGCTGTTCTTCCTCCTGGGGGTTGATCAAGAGTCTTCGGAAACTGGCCCTTTAGCAAGTCGGTGTCTCGAGTTCCTTTGATGCAAGTTTTCACAGGTCAAAACCCGCCATGGCATGTGTGCTTTGATTCCTATGGACCCCTCAGAAAGCTGAAACTGTGTACATGTCTTCTAGTAGTTCACTGGCGGTGGGGACTGGGGTCTGGTTTTCAGCATCCTGTGACAAGTGAATGTTTTCCAGGCCATGGTGTTGTGCCAGTATTTGGAGGAACACACAGAGGAACTCAATCTTCGAGGTGCTAAGATACTGGAAATCGGTGCTGGACCAGGCCTCGTTTCCATTGTGGCCAGTATTCTAGGTGTGTCTGTCTATTCCCAACCTTGTTTCAAAAGATGCTTACCAGGACAACAGTAATAATACATGCTGACTGCATGATGGGCTGTGGTTTAGGTGCTTGGGTGTAATTGCCCTCACTAAGTTCCCGCAAATGTCCAGGCCAGAATGACTCCTGTTATCCCTGAGATAAAATAATTGCATCTTAGAGATGCTAACATCCAACCATTGCTTAGCACGTGAGAAAGCTGACATTTGGAGGGGTGACTCTCGAGTTGTAAACAGGTTGTAAACAGCTATGTTATGCTGTGTCCTGCTTTTCATTGCAACTATCATAACTAAGGTTTTGAAAAAAAAAAAAAAAGTCAGTGAATCCAAGGTGAAGACAGATTTATATCCCAAATGCCAGCTGTGCGTCCTGGACTCTGCACAAGAAGTGGGTGTGTCTGGTCTACTTCTGCTTACACGATTACACATCTATCAAAATCCATTTGGAAATATGGCGATCTACTTTGTGACCACTGATCACTTGCTTTAAAATGCTTTAAAAATTAATTTAATGCATTTAATAGGGGGAGAATCATACAAAATAGATCATCCCCTATGGAAAGGTGCTGATACTCTCCAGAAGAGAAAACCAAAATCTTCAGATAAACACAGTTTCAGAAGGAAAACACCATGCATTATTATTGTAAAATGAAAGTGTTAGTTGCTTAGTCGTGACTCTTTGCGACACCACGGACGATAGCACACCAGGCCCCTCCGTCCATGGGATTCTCCAGGCAAGAATACTGGAGTGGGCTGCTCCGCCCTCCTCCAGGGGATCTTCCTGACCCAGGGATTAAGTTCTCCTGCATTGCAGGCAGATTCTTTACCCTCTGAGTCACCAGGGAAGCCCAAAACCTTGGTTTGTTCATTATTCTGAAATCTCCCAAAACTATACCACTGTTTTAGTTTTTGAAAATTTTTTTGAATTTTTTATTTTGTTGGAGTATTATTAACAATGTTGTGATATTTTCAGGTATACAGCAAAATGATTCAGTTATACGTATACAGTATCTATCCTTCAGATTCGTTTCCCATTTAGATTATTGCACAGTATTGAGCAGAGTTCCCCTGTGCCATGGTTTCAGTTTCTTAAAAGATGGAAATGTTATTCTATTTCAGTGGTTCTCAACCAGAGGTGGTGTCTGACCCATGAAGGACATTTGGCAATGTCAGGGGACATTTCTGAGCATCATGCCTTGGGGGTTGGGTGGGGAGGTGCTATTTGCATCTTGTGATGGGGACTAGGGATGCTGCTAAACATCTTACAGGGCACAGTGTGGGGTCTACCCCACGACAAAGATTCCAGCCTGGATGTCCACAGGGTCAAGGTGGGAAACCCAGCTCCATTTTCCCCGAGAGTATGTGTCCACTGGGCTGCCCAGGTGTTTCCAGGTACTTAAGACAGGTTTTCTTTCTCTCTTTAGGGGCTCAAGTCACAGCGACAGATCTGCCTGATGTGCTGGGGAACCTACAATATAATCTCCTAAAGAACACACTCAACTGTACCACGTATCTGCCGGAAGTGAAGGAGCTGGTGTGGGGGGAGGGCCTGGAGCAGAGCTTCCCCAAGTCCATGCTTTCCTATGATTATGTGCTGGCCTCCGACGTGGTCTACCACCATTACTTTCTGGACAAGCTGCTTGCCACCATGGCATACCTCTGCCAGCCAGGAACGGTGCTGCTCTGGGCCAACAAGTTCAGATTCAGCACTGACTATGAATTTTTAGATAAATTCAAGCAAGTTTTTGACACGACACTCTTGGCTGAATCTCAAGAGTCATCGATCAAACTCTTTAAAGGAATACGAAAATGGGACTGAACGAAACAAAATGCCTTTCAAAACATTAGTGGGTCTGCTGAACAGTGTTAGAAATTTTATAAGATGGCGAAGGTAGTGCGTAGAATCCATGTACCTACCTAGAATAAACCTGATTATTATGGCAACTCTCTAAAATAACCTATTTAGGATTATCTAGTTAATCTAAATATACACAGGAATAGCATGAAAACATGAAAGTAGCTTTGTTGGCTTCCTAGAGTTCTCAGTTAAGTGTTTAATAAATTTTACACAAACACATTAACAAGTGGGTGTCCCCTTGTTATTTCTGCTGGAGAGCATGGTCTTAAACTTGTCAATATACTTTCATCATGTGCTTTTTTAAACTGAGCTCAGCAGTGTCCATGTATTTTATTTCAAAGACTCTACTTACTACAGATTTTAGCTGTAGCAAAAGGAGAGGGTATAGAGTAATAGAAAAGTTATAGGCTTAACTTAGCAACTTTGGAAAACTCAGCAGTGGCCACAGAACTGGAAAAGGTCAGTTTTCATTCCAATCCCAAAGAAAGACAATGCCAAAGATTGTTCAAACTACTGCACAATTGCCCTCATCTCACACGCTAGCAAAGTAATGCTCAAAGTTCTCCAAGCCAGGCTTCAACAGTATGTGAACTGTGAACTTCCAGATGTTCAAGCTGGATTTAGAAAAGGCAGAGGAACCAGAGATCAAATTGCCAACATTCATTGGATCATCAAAAAAGCAAGAGTTCCAGAAAAACATCTACTTCTGTTTTATTAATTATGCAAAGCCTTTGACTGTGTGGATCACAACAAACTGGAAAATTCTTAAAAGAGATGAGAATACCACACCATCTTACCTGCCTCTTGAGAAATCTGTATGCAGGTCAAGAAGCAAGAGTTAGATCTGGATGTGGAACAACAGACTGGTTCCAAACAGGGAAAGGAATACATTAAGCTGTATATTGTCACCCTGCTTATTTAACTTATATGCAGAGTACATCATGAGAAACGCTGGGCTGGAGGAAGCACAAGCTGGAATCAAGATTGCTGGGAGAAATATCCATAACCTCAGATATGCGGATGATACCACCCTTATATAAGGCAGAAAGCCAAGAGGAACTCAAGAGCTTCTTGATGAAAGTGAAGGAGGAGAGTGAAAAAGTTGGCTTAAAACTCAACATTCAGAAAACTAAGATCATAGCATCCAGTCCCATCACTTCATGGCATAGATGGGGAAATGATGGAAACAGTGACAGACTTTATTTTTTTGGGCTCCAAAATCACTGCAGATGGTGATTGCAGCCATGGAATTAAAAGACGCTTGCTCCTTGGAAGAAAATCTATGACCAACCTAGACAACATATTAAAAAGCAAAGACATTGTTGACAAAGGACTATCTAGTCAAAGCTATGGTTTTTCCAGTAGTCATGTATGGATGTGAGAGCTGGAATATAAAGCTGAGCACTGAAGAACTGATGCTTTTGAACTGTGGTGTTGGAGAAGACTCTTGAGAGTCCCTTGGATTGCAAAGAGATCAACCAGTCCATCCTAAAGGAGATCAGTCCTGGGTGTTCATTGGAAGGACTGCTGCTGAAGCTGAAACTCCAATACTTTGGCCACTTGATTTGAAGAACTGACTCATTGGAAGACCCTGATGCTTGGAAAGATTGAAAGCAGGAGGAGAAGGGGACAACACAGGATGAGGTGGTTGGATGGCATCACCGACTTGATGGACATGAGTCTGAGTAAGCTCCAGGAGTTGGTGATGGACAGGGAAGCCTGGCGTGCTGCAGTCCATGGGGTTGCAAAGAGTTGGATGGACATGACCAAGCAACTGAACTGAACTGACTGCTAGGCTTAACAGTGGCTGAAACTGAAAAATACACAAAATGGTGCTGGGACGAGGAAATGGGTGTTTTCTAAGGGCCTGGAAGTAGTGCTCAGCACACCGTGTACCAGCCCCGAGTGCTTCTTTCAGAAGGTGTTTATCCGCATCCAGCTCTTTCCACTGTTTACAATGGCGTGGTGTGGACACTGGCCACCAGCACCTCAGAGAGGAAAACGGTCTCAACTTGTAACAGCCCTATTTTGCTAGTGTGATCATTTGAATCAACCATCAGCTGCTTTGCAGTATTTCTCTATGGGCTTATTAAGAGATGATAGACCCTGTATGCTGTTGGCTTGTAACTTAATTCTCACAACCAAACTTTCTTAAGTAAATTATTGGCAAAACAGTCTCTGAAACTGAAACAACCAGCAAACAATTTGCTGAAACAATTTATCTCCTCAGGAGATAAGTTATCCCTAACAAAATTTCGGTCAGAATCATGATCATCACTAGACTTGTTTTGTCCATTTCTGAACTTTATATAGATGAAATCTAACTGTGTGTATTCTTTTATGATATGCTTCTCCACTGAACACTGTATTTATGAGACTTATCATGTGTTAACTTGTAAAGCATTTTTTGAGGCTGATGTACATTTTCCAAATTAATTTAGTAATTCCCCATCTTTTTTAAGTCATGTTTTTTTTGAAGTAAATATGTATAAAAAATAAATGTACACACCATTAAATTACCATTTTAGGAATTCTCTGGTGGTCTGGTGGTTAGAACTCTGCACTTTCACTGATGAGGGTGTGGGTTTGATCCCTGGTCAGGGTCTAAGATCTCAATAAGCCATGTGGCATGATTAAAAAAAAAAAAATTTTCCTGTGATAACCACAATGGAAAAGACTATAAAGAATGTATGTATGTGTGTAACTGAACTTCAATAAAAATTTTTAGGAAGGTTATCACTTTACCTCAGGTATCAATCTCATAGAAATGTAATAGTTTTGCCAAGGATACCGTCTCCCGGGACGCATTTGGGTCTGGCTGTCAGCATGGAGGCACTGAGCGATCTCAACAGAAAGAGGGGCCAACAAGGCAGCTTCATATCACTGCCCGCGGGTAAAACTGAGGGACTGGTCTTCCTAGGATAAACAGCTCACAGCAGGTCCTGCCAGCCTGTGGACCTATCTCTAACTTCCACAGCGAACTTAAATTATCTGAGAATGACTTATATCTCATTGAAAGAGTAGTATTTGGATACAAAAGTCCTTGGTACGACAGAGAGCCAGACGTGACTCTTATTTAAATCTGTGTATGAATTTTGTGGTGTATCATAAATACATTCATGCTGTATCATACATTCTATTAAGAAGCGCTGTCATTCACCACCTCTCTCTGCAAACTGGTACCCCACCTGATTGCCCCTCACCACGTCAGGACCATGAGCACCAGAGGACCAGGCTCCTGTGGACCGGGCCTGTCATGAAGGCCTGGCGGCTCACTCACTGCACTTGGAACTCCACACTTTCTTTAAAAGTGCATCCAAAACCCACCATGGGCTTAGTTTTTCCTTCCACATTAAAAAATATAGCACAAAGACCAAAACCCAAATAATAAAGTGAGAAATCAGGGAACTCTCTAACAATGGTGATTTTACATAAAAAATATTTGAAGGATTCTAGGATTCACTATATCCTGACAGAACTCAGAAGGTAGTACTTCAAAATAAATCTATTACTAGGAAGTTTCCACTCTTAAAATTACATTAAAATTGGATACTAAAGTCATGTTCTTGAAAAAAAAAAGGTTTGGCTTCAATGAAACGGTGTAACTTCTGTCAGTGAAAGGGTACCTCTGAAAATCATCTCCTCCATTAAGTTATGAGAAAACTGACAAAAATTCTCAGAAGCAACTTTTTCAAAACTCAATCATTTCTCAGAAAAGACCATGTACAAGGCCACCTTGTACAGGACTCAGCTCTCTCACAGACCAAGAAGCCTTTTCCCAGGGCTGTTTGTTGAGATAATTAGAAGCAACTGTGTAATTCTGTAGCTGCCTGAGATGATGGACAACTGCTGGGACCAATTCAAAAGCTTAAAGGTAAATGAGATGCTCAGAGGGACTCTGAAAGCTGTCATATTCCTGGATGTCAGCCACACATGTTGCAGGGCTGAATGCATCCTCACGAAGACCCGAGCAATACCCATGGCTGAGCCTGAGGCTGTGTGTGGCAGGAAGTTCTTTCGGAGGAAACAGAAAATTTGTAAAACACGTCCTCTAGTTAGCAGTCAGCCAGCAGCATGACCTTGGGGAGTCATCTACCCCTTCTGAACTTCTCAATTTCCTGACTGGATTGAACCTGTGTATGGGGGGGCCTGGATATGTTTAGGTGAAAGTGTGTGTGTGAGAAAACATGAATGTGGCTGTTCATGGATGAACTTTAGATGAACCAAGATGGCTCAGAAACTACAAAATGTCTGCATGCATATTTGCACTTTTTCATCAAGGGTCTAATGTTTTCATCAGATAGAGGAGTCAATTACTCAAAAAACCATTACGAATGATTAATAAGACCAGATCTCTGGTAGGCCTTTTACAGTAGTGAAATCTAAGGAAAGAAGATTTAGAAGCCACGTACACACATACACACACATGCACGCATGGGCACACACACACGTACTTGCTATAAGTGAGTAGAGGCCTTTTAATATTGTCTCTGTGTGTTTATTTCACAGAAGAAAGATGAAAGGATAGTAGCCAGAAAGATAAAAATAATAAAATTAAACATACACAAGTTAATCACATAAAAGATTTGGAAATATATTCAAATAATTGCAAGCCTATAATAAACATTATAAATTAAATTACTTCATATTGAATTTTTATCTGTAGGTTTAATATATTATTTCTGTTCTAACCCCAAATTTTATTCATGAAAAATTAAGACCAACTTTAAGAAGCTTCAATATTCACTTTTATTATTTATAAAAAAAATTAAGGTATCAGAGTGCATATGGTGTACTGCGATCTTGGTTTTGCACATTTATTCACGTTGTTTACATTATTTCAACTGTAATAAACAAACCATATGGGTATCTTTACAATACCTGATACAGATTTAAGCTGTCTGGCACTTATACATGTATTATTAGTTCATTCTGATGCTCTGCACGTCAAGAGATATTAAGAATGATTGGCCTGAAATAACTTCAAGATGAAGAGTGATTGAAGCAGTTATGCTCCAGCATTTGCCACGCATTTATTTGTGCCGGTTTTATTTTTTCCCCTTAATTGAATGTAAACGTTTGCCAAAAAAAAAAAAAAATCTGGAAATGAAGTTCTGTTACTTTTTAGTCCAATAAATAATTTTAGCTACGCTTAATGTAGCTTTTTTAAGGCCTTCATACAATTCAAAAAAATTAAAGTCAAGCATGTTAAAACCCTGTTCATTTATAAAATAAAAAATAGAATTTTACAGGTTTGCAGTTAAAAGTTACTGTTCAAATCCTCTCATGCATGTAAGAGCTGCAACCCAACTGAAAGTCCTTGGTGCTGGCACTCAGGGCACAGCCCGCTGCCAGCAATGTGAGGCATTAAGAAAACACCATGATGTCAGAGGTCTAGGTTTACATGTATTAAGCCACACGCCAGCAAATTCTCTGATAAATACACATCATTTTAATAATCAGTATTTGATAGCGGATGAAAACATGCATTAGACTAAAAATGCCACAGATTTGTTTTTATATCCATTCACTATAAAACTTTCTTTTTTAAAATGTAAAGTCTTGGTTCCTATTTTAGAATACACAATAATCAGGAGGATACATGATGGGGAGCCAGTTTTCAGTAAAAGACGCACAATGGGTCCATCCAAGCAGCTTCATCAGCTGTAATAAGACATGAAAATAATAAAACATATGAAAATACTATTTAAAAAATAGATGTTCCAAGCTCAGTATTTAGGGTAAATTCCAAGTTAAATATGCAGCAATAATAAAGAAGTAGCAGGTAGACCTTTTCATCCATCCAACCATCAACCAACCCACCCGCCAACCTTCCTTCCTACCAACCAGTGTTCTTCATGATCTACTAGTCACCCAGCTTTCCTACCAACCAACCTGAAAGTGAAAGTTGCTCAGTAGTGTCCGACTCTTTGCGACCCCATGGACTGCACAGTCCATGGAAACCCCATGGGCTGTAGCCCACCATGCCCCTCCACCCATGGGATTTTCCAGGCAAGAGCACTGGAGTGGGGTGCCCTTGCCTTCTCCAGAACAGATGAATAAATAAGTATATAATTAAGAATATATCAGGTATATAGTACAAATAAAATTTGCTCTAATACAGATTGGTAACCGAGATGGTCAAGATCGAGATCTCTGAAGAGGTGACCTGTAAGCTGAAATCTCCATGACAAGAAGAAATCTGCTCTGTGAAAATCTGGGGACGAGCTCTCCACACAGCCGGGTCCTCCGGGGGGAAGGGTGCAGCTGTGTCAGTCACACGGACAGGGGAAGCAGAGGGCGGACGCGAGAGACGTGTGACGTAAGCCGTGTGACGTGTGACGTGAGACGTGGGTGAGCTGCAGCTGGGGAGCGCGGCAGCAGCTAGACCCCACGGGCCTCACAAGCCTCGGAGAACGTGGATCGTCCTCTGAATGTGCCGGAGCTTCACCCCGAGGGTGTGAAGCTGTCCTTTCCAGCTGCTGTGTGGAGGGAGCCAGCCGGTGAGCGGACGGAGACAAGCTGTGGAACGTGCCCTGATGAGCGAGTCTTGGTGGACGGCTGGCTTCACAAGGACAAGGGCTCCGTTTACAGAGTCCGTGATGGGAGGACACCACCGGCTGTTCCAGGCAGAGCTCCCTCCACCTCCTCAAAGGGCTGAAGACGTGAGATCTTACGGGGCTGCCCTGGTGGCTCAGAGGTAAACAATCCGCCTGCCAAGGCGGGAGACGCGGGATGGATTCCTGATCTGGGAGGACCCCACCTGCCTCGCAGCAGCTAAGCCGGTGCCGCAGAGCCCGGAACTGCAGCTGCTGAGGCCTGCGCGCCCTGGGGCCTCTGCTCTGCGACAAGAGACGCCACCACGATGAGAGGCCCGCTCGCCGCAACCAGAGAGCAGCCCTCGCTCGCCGCAACTCGGGAACAGCCCACGCAGCAATGAAGACCCCAAAGTAACAAAAGCATTTTTTTGATAAAACAGAGAATTTTAAAATGTTTTACAATCTGAACTGACTTGGTAAAGATACACAGAAGAGTCTAAGAGTAAAGATAAGCTATAGTTTAACTGGAGAAGGAAAGGGCAACCCACTCCAGTATTCTCGCCCGGAGAATTCCATGGACAGAGGAGTCTGGCGGTTTGCAGTCTATGGGGTTGTAAAAGTCAGATACAACTGAGTGACTAACACACATAGTTTAACTACCAAAAATGGCCACAGGTGAGCTTTTACTGCCACCTGAAATATGAAAATCAGGCCCCTGGCCGCCTTTGGCATGACCAGTTCTCCTCACCCATCATCTACCTTTTTGGCATAAACTAATCATGTCTGTACAAAGACCAGGCTAGGCTGAAACAATTTCTTCAGAATTCACTAGGTTTTTACACTTGACATTTAATTTGTGTAGAAAGCTCAACGGTAGAACTTGCTTGCATATAACACATGGTAAAACAAAAAATGGCCTATCATTTAAAATGACAAATCAAATCAAACAAACTAAAAGTTCAACCACTTTGGCTCAGAGTCAACATGTATTTAAAAGAAATTATTTGTTTCCTTCATAAAAGAAACCTGTCTCCTAACTACACAAAATCTGCAACACATTTTGCTGTGTTGAAAACACTTCTAGACAGAAGTGAAAAATATTAAAAAAAAAAAAATGTAAACAGCTTACTATCTTTCATGCATTTATAGTATTGTTCACATCACGTTTAATTAGACTAATTAAAAGTCACGATGAAGTTGGTGTTATCCTATCACTCCCACGAGGCTTTCTAACTATCTTGTCACTAAACGATGCTGAAACGACACTCAATACTGCTGATTTAAATACTGAATACAATTTACTTACTTGAATACAGTTTTTCCAGTTTTCTTTTGTTGGTTTTTCTTCTACAAGTTTGGTTGCAAATTTAAGGCCTCTCCCATACATTTTATTCACTAATGCATGCTTGTATGCAAATGTCAAAACCTATAATATAAAACAAGTTACAGCTTATCTACAGATAGTTTACAATTTAAGCATATTGCTTTCATAATGAAAGAACTGAAGCATTAACAGAAGTGTAACTTTTCAAACGAACATATCACATCAAGTCAATTTTTAAAACTTTTTAAAAGAACCATCAGTGTCTTTAAAAGACTCCAGTGTTGCACAGAACAGATGACTGATTGGAGGGAGAAAGCTGTTATGTCATTAGCAGTTACTTGTAACCATTTGTTCTTTCCTCCCTCAGTAGGCCATTTTGTCAGGACCCTTCTCCATGACCCATCCATCTTGGGTGGCCCTGCATGGCATGGTTCGTGGCGTCATTCAGTGACACAAGCCCCTTCGCCACAAGGCTGTAATCCATGAAAAGGGTTCATATGCAATAGTCTCCACTTTTAGAATGTGGAGAATGTCCTCAAAGGAATCCCATCACATTTATTTGTATTCTAGAGTCAAGCAAAGGGTTCAATAACTGCTGCTACCAACACAGTAAACCAATAGGTAATAAAATGCAGAAGCGGCCCTGAATAGCAGAAGCACTATGGCAAGAAGGGAATTACTTGTAACAGTTTTACTGTGATGCTCATCAAGTGTTTAGCCACTGGCTGTTGGACCAGGTTCTTACTCATCTTTTCCCAGCAGCAAGTGCAGTGTCTGGCACACAGCAGACCTGTGGTAACTGTTATAGTAACAGTGAGTATTGCTGATGCCCATCCAGGCTCTCAACACTCACTCCTGAGAGCCTGTGGGAGCCCACAGCCCACATCAGAAGCCAGCCACCCGCCTCGGCTGGCATGGTCAGTGCTGCAGGGGCAAGCTTGGGGGTAGGCTTGGTTCAAGCTCTAGGCACTGATTTCAGATCTAAATTCTTAACCTATGGGGCTGACTCCGTCAGTCTCCAGAACATAACTGAGTTCCTTCTCTAAAAGCACTTCTGAATTCAGGTGGAAAAACCTGGTGGACAGGAAGAATTTTCTCCTACTTCTAACCAGAGGTCGTTACTACTAATTACCATAGCTGTTCTTGAAAACAAGCATCTGTCTGCTTAAAACAAACAACAACAAACAAAAATCAACAACACACCCAAGAGTTAGTGCTGGGTAAGACGCATTCCACTGACTTCATCTCCTTTATGTCCAGGAAAAAGGCAGACTGACAGCGACCTGCAGTTACATAATCTCTACTGTAAGAATTACAGCTGAGCACCAGAAGGGATTTAAAATCAAAATCCAAAAAGCTCATCCAGGTTGCTTTTTCTAAAACTAGGTTTTAAAAACTGACCAGCTATAAATCAAGGTGATAACTACTCAGCAGTTAGAGCCTGGAGGGAAATAACAAACACCTAAACTAACCAGAATACCCACGCCTCCAACCCTGACAAGTGAGCATGTGGACAGGTGTGGGAGGCAGAAGACAGCTCCCAGGTGCCTGAGTTTGGGCTCCTACATAAACAGTGTGACCCAAGCCTCCAACTCCATATACACCCTCCAACTCTTTCCAAACTAGCGTGGGCACCGGCCACTGTGCACACATACTGAACAACAGTCAAGTGGTTTTCAAAACCGGGAAGCCAGGGGGATACCTCGCTAGGACCGTGGCTTCTTCAGAGCCCAGCTCAGCTTCCACCCGTGTACCCTGTCCTCTCTGGTCCGCTCGCCGGGCCCTAGAGGGGCCTGGGATGTACCCCCAAGAGCTGTGCCGAAACAAAAAGCAGAAAGGATACCTTGTTGTCAAAAAGATCGGTCCATTTGGTCGTCTCCCAGAAGGTCTCCGTCAGAGAGTCCAGGGTGCTCTCTCCTTCCTCCTCTCGCCCCTCCGAGTCACTGGACACGGCACCGTCCTGTTCCTGGGCCTGGAGAAGGTGGTCGGCCAGGGCACAGCCCTTCCGGCAGAGCGCGTCTACCAGCGTCGACTTCTGCTTGTCCATGTCACTGCACACCAAGCCCAGAACAGTCCACAGGTCAGTAACACGGCGTTAAGAGCGAAGCCTTATCTGAGATTAAACTCATGCACCCTTCGCCTGAGTTTACAATGCAGGAATATCGTACAGCCCTGGACAGACGTTTGCTGGTATGACACAGGAGCCATGTATTCACACGCACGGATTACATGAGTTAGGGTTGCTGTACTTGGTTGAAACAGCATGCCATACGCGTGAGAGGGGAAAGAGTGCTGGGTTCTCAATTCTGTCGGCTACAGAAGTCTTAGAACAGCATCTTCTAAGTGTTTAGGTGTCTCGTAAATATCACTTGTTACATATTTCTGTAGTCGTGAACTTCCGTACATGCACAGAAATGGAACGCTTATTCTGCATGTGCCAGCAAGTGTTTTTTAGTATTTTAATGTATTAACTCATCTATACTTAAAATAATTCTGTGAGTAAGTGACCACCAATCGCCCATTTTCCACAGGAGGAAACTGAGGCACAAAGAGACCAGGCAATCTGTTCAAGGCCCCAGTCAGGAAGGGGCAGGGCCGGGACTCAGCTCCACGGCTGGTCCTGCAACTGCTGCTCTTATTCCCAAGGCCCCCTGCTTTCCAGGCAGGTGTCTCTGTTTTTGGGTGTATTCCAAGTGCCCAGAATAATGCCTGCACGTAACACTCAATAAACTGTTGCTGAATGAAATGCAGTAACAGCCTACATTCTGGGGAACAGTGTGCACTTCAGAAAGCTTGCTTATTGGAGGCACCCTGTCCAACTTGTGCACAAACAAGGATTAAAGTGCTGAGGTGATGACCAGGAGGCACTCAGAGACGGGATGGACAAGCTGTCTAACCGGAAGGAGGATTCTGAAGGATGCAGAGTGAAACGTGCCCCATATGAAATCCATAGGGACTATTAACAGTAACCAGTTCAAAAGACAACTAAAATGAGAAGGGAAAAAACCCACAAACAACGCAGTAACCTGCTACAACCTAAGTTACCCACCCCTTCATATATTTGCAAGGCAGATGAAATTAGGTCTAAAAGATGCCTAAGAGTTTATCAGCAAAGAGTTGTAACGTTTTAAAAGAGCCCACTCTTACTCTCTTCATGGAGAACGTTTCTGGAGACCTGATGCGCTTGGTCACTTTGGACTTGAGAATAGAAGGACGGATGGGGTTGGGGCAACTATGCAGTTTTTTATTTAATGGGGTCCCCTCACCCCCCACCTTGTAGATGCCGGGCAGCATCTGAAACGTCTCAGGAGTACTTCACTTCTGCTCACGGTAACCCCAGGAGTCAGGCATAGGCACTGCGCCCACTCTGTGAAGAAGGGGGGCCGTGGAACAGGAAGGGCAGACACAGCGCGGTCTGGACATCCGGCTGTCCGTGGCATCCTAACCGACTGTGTCCACTGCCCCGAGAAGGGCTGAAGGACGCAGAGGGTGGAGGCCAGGCTGCGGGGTGGGTGTGCTGGACAAGCTGGGCCTGGACTAGATCACCTGTAAGACGCCCTGCTATTTCCACATTCTCTGATCCAACAGCCCAGATTCCATATATCTGGAATATTCTTTTCCTCCCCTCTTCTGAGAACTGACCTGCTCAAATTAAATACCTATCATTCCATGAGGTTTTGCCCTTCTCAAAAAAAATAAGTCTGCTCTCCTTCCCATAAGCCTTCACAATTTAACATACTTCTTCCAACTCTCAAGTCACATTCTATCTCACCATTTCATCTTCAGTATTAGACAGTACATTTTCTAAGAGTAGACACTGTCTGGTTCATTCTTTTTTTTCCACATTCCTCTCAAGGGTGTCCCAAGCAGTGTTTGCTCAAAAAACATCTCTGAATCAAATTTAGTTAGGGACTGATCAAGGTGGTAATAGATACATTTGAGGAAGCAACTTCAATTAGACACTTTAGTGGCCAGAGTAAACTGCAGTTTAAATGTAATTAAAACTTGGTATTAGATCACCTAAAAAAATTAGAATTTTTAAGATTACAAAATGGCTGTCTTACAACTGTTGACACAAGTGACTTAAGTGAAAAAGCAGTTTTGCATGGAAATGAGAAATTAATGCTCCTAGGAATCCCTTGTACATAACCGGTGGCTACACTGTACACTATTATAATTTTTTTTAACATCAAAAACATTCTATATTGGGATATAGTCAATTCTACTATAATTATTAACGATAACATAGCAATGTTTCAAGAAGGCTCCTTTGGAAAGTGTGGAAGGATGCTGACAATGGCCAACCACCTATTTTGCAAACATTTTATTCTGCTTGAAAACTGCTGCTTCTAAGATTCATAAGACCTATATCAGCAGTATGCATGATGTAATGCCAAGAGTTCTAGCAGTTTACCATCAAGCATTTTGTATTAAAAACAAATCCTGACTATAGCAGGCAGAATCTTTAAAGGAAATGACCGTTCTTTCAGGCAGTCTGCACAGTTTCCGTTTATTAGTTATAGCAACTCTAAGAGAAGGTGGGAGTTAAGGACCCCGGGCCTGGAAATGAACCCAGGTGACAGAGGAAGAAGTGATCTTGGACGAGGCACCAGGAGTGGCGGCAGGAGCTCACGAAGCAGGGACCGTCACGGCAGCACGTGGAAAGCACACTCTCACGTGGAAGGACACTAAGAAACGTGCAAACCTGGCATCACTTGTTCTACACACCACACTGGGGTTTAGTAAGGCTGAACTACAATCCCCCTTCTCAAGTATTACTGTCAACCCAGTTTCACAAAACTGAGGCTGCTAGATAACAGTTTTAACCTAATTTTCTTATCATTTTATTAAGCATTACAAGCTAAATTTGGAGTGTGTCATGCTATTATTGGTCAATAAATAGTTGAAAAATTAGTTTTATAGGCTGCTATGTGCTTCTCCGTATGTCCAGTTCACACAAACCCCCAAATGGCTGGACTGTGTGATCACAGTCACTCTAATCTCTTCACCACGACAGCACCTGATGGTGGAGAAAGCCAATGACTTTTCTTTTTCTTAAATGACTACAGAAAACTACCACCAAATATTTAAGGATGGAGTATCCCCAACTTGATAACTCCAATGATAAGGATATAAACAAATACCAGAAAAGGAGGATATTTTCAATAACCAAAAAAAGTAACTAAGAAATGAGATGCAAGAAAGAGTATTTACTGGTTAGGTACTTTTTTATAATAGCTGCATCGGGCCTGGGGTCAGTCTTCATGGCAATATAAACTGCTAGGGCTGTTTGATCTATATGAGAAATTACAGCATTTGCAGCTTCAACAATTTCATTCAGTCTTTTCATTCGTTCCTGGGGAGGAAAGAAAAGAAGACATAAGAAAAAGGAAGTATCGACGAGCATGCTGAGTGTGAGGAGCGACAACTGCGGTGCTGCAGGAGCAGGCAGGCTGTGCAGGCCAGGGGCCGGGTGCTACCCCCCGGTGTGACCTTCACGACCAACCAGCATCTCCAGAGAACCTGAGCGCAGATGGGAGAACACCTACCCCTACACTCCCTGCCAGCACTGAATAGTAAGACCAAGCGAGAGACCAAGTTCATAGAGACGTGGACTGTTCTGTCCAAGGCAACCCTTTCCCCGGCATCTTATCAAGAGTTTAGAAATGTGATTGGCCCTGTTACCCTAGGTGCACAGCACGTGAAAGCAGGAGTGAGAAAAGCACTAGCGGAGGAAACAAATTCTTTGTCGATTTACTACCGAAATCTCAAAAATGAGAGAAAGCAGGACTGGAAACGAGTCTCACTTTGGGGACCGCAGTGTGGTGGCCCCAGGAATCTGCTCCCCTTGGTACCTTCCAGCTCACGCTCAAGCATTCACGACTCTGAGCTGATCAGGGCCATAAGCACCTTTTGCAGCCACGGCTCCCAGTGGGAGCCGCTCCAGTCAAGACAGCTGGGAGCTAGGACAATCGTTAAACACCAAGGAGGAGCACTCCACTCCTGCTGCAGACGCTCAGGTTTCCAGGAGGCCAGGGCCACTGCCTTCTGCTTCCGCTGTTTTCAGGCCAAGGTCAACAGAGCAACCCTGAGGGTTTCCTATCTCCTCTTCCCCCCGCTGATGAACCAGAGCAGGCGAGGATGTTCAAGCAAATAATACTAAAGGCCAGGTCCAGAGCTTTGTGAAAACAGCTCAGTAGAACAGTCAAGGTGAGGAAACATGTTTCTAGTCACCAGGAATAGATGGTCAGGACTGGACCTTTGTTTCAAATGCAAACCTTATCTAATACTGCAAGCAAAGTAAAACACTCATAGTAAAAATGAGCATGCCCAACCTTTTCGGCATCCAACTGATGAAGTCGTGCAACATACAAAGGAAGGTAATTAGGGTATGTTTCCTTCAATTCATTATAAATGTCACTAGAATCCAGCCTATGGAAATAAGAAAGAAACAGTCATTATTTAGTTCTTTCAGAAAGAAAAGGATCTCTGTCACTCCTATTTAATACTGTTTTGATGCTCCAGTCAATAACCAAAGGCATTAGTCTGAAATATAATTATTGACAAAGATTTGCAAGCAGTATAAATACATGTATCTAGAAAAACCAGAAGAATAAAACTGAAAATTATTTCAATTATGAGTTCAGTAAGATGGCTGGATAAAAATAAGTATCAACAGCTTTCCTACATACCAGCTACAACTCAATTTACCAAAAGGAAAGGAAAAAAGAAATTCAAAAAGAGTTAAGATGAAAAGCTCTATAAAGGTCTAAGATCTAAAAAGAAGGAAAATTTACACTTTCTTGAAAAACCTGAAGTCTTGAATGAGTAAAGAGACAAATGTTGCACGTTCCCGGCTGGGGAAGCTGAGTAAACTATATTCTTGATGATTATATGGCAGGAGGGACAACAGCTGAGGTTGGGGTTTGCCCTGCCGGATGTGACGTCACTGCTTCCCAGCGTGGGCAGGGCCTCTGGGTCTCAGCGGTAGCCAGCTGGGCAGACCCTCTGCTTCAAAAGCAGGGGCTGAGCAGGAGGGGGCCCCCGCCTCTCAACCAAATTCATCCAGGACTTGGCCTCAGCATCTGCTGTTCCTCTTCTGGCTGCATGTCCCTGGGGTCATTTCCAGATGCTTAAAAAGGTGGTTTTAAATTTGCTCATAACCAAACAGTAACTGGAAAACCAGGACACAATATCCACCCACCTGCTACGTGTATAAACACAGAGACAAATAATAATGGGACACTGATTATCTCTGGAGAGTGGGCAAACAGTGACATGTTTTCTTTGCACCTTCCAATAAAATTCCCTTCCAAGAGCCAATGAGGACAGGATTAAAATAAAAACTCTCATTACAAAAGGGAAATCAAAACTAAATGGAATTACAGGAAAAATTTAAAAGCACCTGCAATTCTATTCACTGCTGTCATTTCTGAATACAGTCTTTGCATATATACATAAGTGCTGTTGCAGCTAGGAAAAGAAAAGTAAACACTTGGAGGATTCAAAGCCATTTAGAACTTACTTTGTCATCCACTGAATTTTAAGATCTCGTAATGCTTCGGTAAACTCTTCTTTTAAATCCTTCTCTTTTTCCGAATCTTTTTCCTTGTCCTTGCTGCCGTTCTTAGTCTTTGTTGGTGGAGATATCAGGTAGTAATGAACAGGGATTACATCCTGTGGAGAGAGTCTTAGATTAATGTGTGATTATTTTACTTACTTAGAAATCTTCCCTAGCTGAACAGCACGTTAAGATGGGCTGCACCTGAGCAGGACTACATTGCACTTCGGATTCTAAGGGCCGCCATGCATCTCAAGTTCCAATCTGTGATCAAAGTCATTTTCTCCCAAACTTTAGAGGTGATGCTTCTACTATCTCCTTTAAAACAAAGGAAATAAGGACAAATTTTTCCCCGTGTACGTGTATTTGGTATTCTTGGTTTTCTGTGAAAGACTACAAAAAAAGTACTGAGCGATCACATTTTATTTCTGAGGAGGAAAATCAATTAGAATTGAAAAGAGGAAAGATCCTCTTTTCTAAGTAAATTTAAAAAGAAATTTCTTTCTTCATTCGATCCTTAGAACTTGCTGAGCCCCCATGACGTGCAAAGTAATTGCTCTAAAACAAAGCAGACAAGGGCCTTTAGCGCTGCAGGAAGACAGCCAACACACGGGTGAGGAAATAAACCACTTGAGTAACGACACAGGATACCAAGAGGACAGACCAAGGTGAGGGCAGAGAGTGCGACGGGTGGGGAAGTGGTGGTGGGGAACCCGTGCAGACAGTTGTTAACAGAGACACTCTACGGAGCTGATGTCTGAGCTCCTGGAGCCCCAGTGACCTAAATGAAAGAACCGCAACGAACCTAAATAACCGAAAAGAGGAGAGGAAGGAACGCTTGCAGGGACAAGACCAGCATGGGCAAACTTCAGCAGGGGGCGGCAAGCGCAGGGCGAGCTGCTGAGACTCGGCGGCGACGCAGAGGAAGGTGAGCTGAACAGGACGCGGTTAGAGAGGATGGGGTTATTCCGAGCGCAACAGGAGGAGCCGGGCGCAAGGCAGTGGCATGAGCAAAGATCTGTGCTCTTGGCTGACTAACGCTGGATCCTGGGTGGATGGACCATTCTGGCTGGTGCTTAAGAACTCTTTGATAGGCTATCTGGAGACTGGATGATGGAGGGCCAAGTGGAGAGAAAGCGAAACAAGTTGGCAAGAAGCCCCGGTCTCCTGACACTGCTTGGAACTGCAGGACGGCTGAGAGAAGAAATGAGCAGAGTGGGGACGCCCCGTGAGCGCAGGGCTGATGGAGTCTGCTGGGGGTGCTTAGGACGAGGGGCTGGATGGGACGAGGGTCAGTGCGTGCGTGGGCCACAGCGCTCCATCTCAGGGGGAAGTCTGAGGCCACGGAACCCCTGGGCAAAGCTGGTGTGAAGACCGAGGGGCCGCTGGGGACAGCTGAGAGGGGGCGTCAGGCAGGAGAGGGAACCGTCAACCTGGCCGCACGGTGGGCATGGGCACCGGCCGTCCAGGGCTGCAGGGGAGGTGGGCGGGGGGCAGGGGTCCTGCAGTAAAGGCCGAGGGAGAGGAAGACGAGGAGAGAAGGGGAAGCAAGCAGGTAGAGATGGTTCTTCTGAGAAGTTCCGCTTTGACCAGAGCCCGTGTAACTACCTCCATCTGCAACTATTTTATTAGCATGTACATCTACACTTGAGAAAAGTTAACTCGGCATCTGGGAAATGACATCCCATGCTATGCTTGCTAGGTCTGTTTTTGACCCAATAACCAGGTGGCCCTAATTACATCATTATTAAGACAACTTCTAAAATTCTATCTTCGGGTTTATAGTAAAAGTAGTGCTAAGCTAAAATCTTGTATGTGTTTTCATTAATAATGGAGCTGCTACAATTGGAACAAATGACACTGTTGATGATTTTAAGGCCCCAATCACGTAATTTCAGGAAAAAACTCTGCACAGGTTGAGTCACAAAACAGTACTGGCTTCATCTTTCCTAAAACAGGATTCTGAGGTGTGAATGTTACATAAAATATGCCCATTCTAACAGCTTCCACAATTAAAACTTTATCTGGGGATACTGTAATAGGAAGCGCAGGGAGCTACTGTGCAGAAGTGCTAATAAAATAATAACTGCTATTTCAGGAGGACTCACTGAAGGCGCAGAAAGCCACGGCTGGGGAAGAACCAGAGAAATCCACTCTTGGCCACTTTGGCGCCACGCAACCTCTGAGGTCAGAGGGCCAGAGCCGGCGGGCAAAGGGCTCCAGGGATATGTGAGCCCGCAGAGAGGAAAGGGTCCCTGCCACCACCCTGCTCACCCCTCCAGGCTCACTGTCCTGGGTGGGCGCTGGCCTGCGCTTGAGTCAAGTCAAAAGTGCCAGCACCCTGGAGTTGACGACTCATCGTCAAGTTCTCACGGGGGCAGACACTTCGTGTCCCCTGCTGAGCAGAGGCCGCACACCTAAGACTTGGAGGTGGAAGTGACTCCAGCCTCTGCTGTTGAAGAGCCCCACCCGTGTGAAGTCACACTCCTGTGCAGTGCTGGACGTGCCCGGGGAGGGCACCAGGCAGCCAGCACTCCCTCTGACCTAACGTGCGCCCCCCTGGGGACCCCGCCTCCTCGCCCAAGCAGCGGGAGGGACAAACGTCAGGAGGGGACCCCTCTCCGTCATGAGCCAATGCCTCCTGAGGCTCACAGGCAAGGCATTGGCTGAGATGTTTTAGTAAAGAGAGAAAACAGAGTTGAATTTAAAATGAACAATCCATTAAACTGAACTGATGATTAATAATGAACTCTAACAAAGATCTATATATAGATAGAGAGAAACCATATATAATAGCAACCATAAACTACACTGAAAATGAAAGAGAAGGGGGAAGTTAATGATGAAGGATCTTGATTATGTAATCAGCATTATATACATTAAATATATAGCAAATTAGTCATTATAAATGTTAACACTATCCCATAACGAAATTTCAAGACAAGCACTACTTTTTATTATTAAAAATTATGGACATGGCAGTTTTAATCCCCAATCAAAAAAAAAGAAGTCACTTTTCATTTATTTTATCATGGTCATTTGTTCTTTCTGTCAATACATATTTTTACAACTCAACTTCTAAAGGGCTTAGTATAGGGTCAATTTAACAGAAATGATTTTATACCATTAAATCAAAAGAAATCTTAATTATTATTTAAAAAGACAGTCAAAAAAGACTATTCAGAGTCTTTTGCTATAAGTTCTCTACAGCAGACACTTAACAGTGAGTGTTTTTTTAAAGAAAAAAATCACTCCAGCTATTCACAAAGAATTTCAGCAGTGTTTGAAGTGATCGACAGTTAGAAAATCAAACCTTATCTGCCAAACCAGTAACTATTCTTTGGACAATAAAACACATCACCATTTAAATTCTGGTTCAAAACATAATACCTTTATGTCTTAAATTATTTAAAAAATATAACTTCAAAATTTTAATATCTTCACACAAAGTAAAATAGCTATTTTAAAAATATCATATTTGAGTGCTATTTATGATGTAAACTATATTCTTTCACATTACAATGAACTTAAAAATGGGTAGCATACATTTTCAAATTAAAAGTCACTGAGACCCAGAGGACAAATCCATTGAAGATTATGTACAAAACGCTGGTATTTTGTTCAGGTGATAAATTATACCTATATCTATATAATTTTATAATGTGTAATCATATAATTAAAATACAAATTATATACTTATATAAATTAAAACAAAATTATTTTATATAAATTTATAATACATAATTATACAATATATATAATTTTATAATTGTAATGTGCTTAGAAAACTATAAAAACGATTATTTTTAAAATAAGAGTGTCACTTGCGCTGAAGACGGGAAGAAATGGAGGCGGGTACTCCAGTTGTGAGCTCCAGAAGCTTCCTAACCACAGGAATGAGGCTTCTATTCATATGGTAGTTTCTTATCTCAAGTAATCTAACACTAACAAAATTCACCAAAACTCCCAAAAGATCAACCAGACTACTCAACAGGAAAAAACACCGCTCTGCCTTTGAGACGTGCCTTTGAGACGTCTTTTGAGTAGGCTTCGAGAATGCCTGCCCTCATTCTCTGAAGCAATGGCTTTCAGGCTGTTTTCAAAATGAATCAAAGATCAGCTACACACAAAATGAAATTACAACTTTGTGAGTCTGATGAACTGACATTTTGTTTCATTCTGCTTTTGTTTTAATGCTGGTTAAGTTCCACTGGGTGAATCTGCATGGCCTTCCAATGGGTCAAAATGCTCAGTTGAGGAAAGTGGTCTTCAGAGAAGACAATGTTCCTTTATCCCCCAGTGGTGCATTTTGTTTGAACAAAGTCTTTACCGTTATATAGTAATACAAAATTTCAGAAGTCCTTTTAATAAAGACATTTGATCTTTTATAAAATGGTGATCCCCATTTTCAGACCACTATGAGTTTTCTAGATCACTAGAAACAGCCTTATCTTTTGTTTCTATTTTGAAACACTAACTCTGGCCCTGCAATACTTCCTGCATGGGCCACAAATCTCTACAATGATGCATGATGCCAGCAGGTCCTCTCCAAAGAGCTCAGTGAGCATGTAACCTCTTGTCTGAAGTAGACTTGAAGAAGAGTTTTTCAAGTTAAATTTCGCTCCAGCAGTCAGTCAGAGACAGTCTTAACAAGCAGCAGGGCAGTGGATCAGACCACTCACTAGTTACGGTCTTACTCTCTGCTCCTGCTCAGTGGAAGGGTTAACTTCGGGCCAACACTTCTTACTGCTGTTCCTGCTACGTCCACTGCTCTTTTTGTCTCTGACTTTCTAGAACTAAGATGCAAGGGCAGGAAATAAACTTCACTTTAAAGATTTTAATAATATTTTATTAATCAAATCATTTCACTTAAGAAAGGTCTTTAGACTTTATAAAAATAACTTCGTCATATATAGCTAAAAAAACACCACATTCATCTCTCTATATGATTTTAGAAATGCAAAAGTTCAAGTATTATTCCTTTGTCATACATAGAGTACAAAATGAAATAGTATTAGAATTTTCTCTATACACAAATAAACCAGGGGTCTTCAAGAAATTCATGGAAGGAAAAAAAATTTCAGAGAGCAGTATGTCAACATTGATAAGCTAAAAGCATTATACTGCAGAACTTAAAGAAAGGAAATTAAGGGAGAGATTTTTTAAAAAAGATAATAGTGACAGAAAAAGAAGTTTAACTAATATGCAAATAAGGCTTTAAGACATCTTTTTAAAGAACTGACAACCAGTACCTTTTTAAATTTTCCTTGTCGTTTTGCTGCAGACTGCCCCTGGGAGTTAGAAGGACATTCTGTAAGAAAACATGCAAAATCTACACAGGATGGTGATACCACCTCTGTCTGATTCTCTTCCAGCTTCCGTTCTACCTGGATGTGTCACAGAACTTAAAGGGTCAGGTCTGTCACCAAAATGGCAGGCTTTTAAAGAAAGCAATCCTGCCACTTGAAATTTTTTTTTTTAATAAAAGTGCACTCAAATATGTTATTCCTAAGGGTCAATGTATTTCAATAATTTGTAAAGCAAAATTCCATCAGTTATCAGAACAGTTTTGAAGACGTTAAAAGTTAGCTGACAGTTCAGAGCCGGATTTTCAAGGACATCACAGCAAGCATACACGTCCAGGCACTAGAACAGCATCATTCGAGGTGACTGGGAGCGTCAGAGAGGAGCAACATGAACCACAGTTACCTTCGCCACTGCCCAAAGCATAAGAAACGCAGCCCCAGACTGAGGTCAGATGAAATAAACAATATGCTGCGAATGACAGTTAACTCTATAGCTTTAGGTTTCCTCAAGAAAATCTACCCTGGTAAGTAACAACTATAGTCAATCCTGTCTGTTTATAATTTAATTTCACAATGGCCTCTTAAAGAATACAACCAGGAAGCAGAGCTCTGAGTGGCTAAAAGCGTACTTCCACGATCACAATGCTCTCCTGCCTTACTCATCACAGGCAGCGGATGCTTCAGAAAGCTGGTCTGGATGAGAAGCCTCACTGGTGAAGCCCCATAGCAGAGGCAGAAATGTTTCCCCTACCGGAAAATGAAATCTCCCTAAAAAGACTATTAGGACTTCTCAAAATCAGTGCATCTATGAATTCCAGTAACTACTTATTCACTTCACATTACACTGAAATGTTTATAACTTATACTAAAGTACACATAAGCAAATAGTATGAACTGAAATAAGACTAAGACATGTTAGGGATAATGACTTCTAACGACAAAAGTCTTAAGTGATGATGCTTCTGTGTCAGCAAATAAGCCATCTCTGGTTCAACATTCATTTCTTAAAATGAATGAGCATACTTGTTAAGACATTTGAGATCTATTCATTTTGATAACAGCACTCATAAATTCCACAATTAAGTGGTAGATTTACTTTGTAAGGACTAAAGCTAAAGAGAAATATAAAATTGTAAGAACGACAACTTTTACTGGCATGGAGATGAAATGACTTTATGACAAAGGGAGATATACCTATATAAACACTGTTATCACAATAAATCTGTAATGAAAACAGATGGGAACCAAAACAGATACCATCAAATCTAAAATTTACCTCCAAAATATAACCACCAGGTAAGTTTTTAACAAGAGGCACAATTTTGAAACTACAACACCAAAAGAAGTATCTTGTAGTTATCTATACAATTACACAAAATTCCAATAAGAGAAAGATCTGTACAAGTGAAAACTACTGCTTATTAGCAATAATTGTTCTGACTGGTTTTTAGAAGTCACCCAAGAAGATCTGACTTTTTCCCTGTATCCACAATATTACATTCTTAAAACTCAAACAATTCTCTAATTTTAAACATCCCATTCACTTAAGACAAGTTTGATCTGGATCTATGTATTTCATGGGAAGTTCAAGTATAGTAACCGTGCAAGACAGGACAGGTTCGAGGCCCAAGAACTTAGACTTGGGAAAAAAGGATACTAAATATATAAAAATACAACCAAACATTAACCTTTATTAGTAACTTGGGAAAAAAACTATTAAATTTCATTTTCTGGAGAGATCTTCTCTTTTACTGAAATGTGGAATTAATTTCCATTTTTAAAGAAAATGAAATTTTGGAACAGGCAATTTCAATGTAAAAAGAAAAAAAAAAAACTACTTACAGCTTTCTTTCCAAGTTCAGTCTTTGACAAGGTTAAGGATCCCGCGAGGTAGCACCCAGGTCCGGCCCCTTTAGGTATTCTAATCAGAAGATTCAAAAGAGAAGAAAAGGAACAAAAGAGAAAGTTTCACAAGGATAATTGGGGGGAAAAACATCACAACAACTGCATTCTGAAATAATTCCCATAGCTAAGATTTCAAAAGCCAAAGGGAGAAATTAGTCTATAAGGTGAATGACAACACAGTATAAGTGTAGCCGCATGCAATAAACTAGCATGTAAAAGACCAGGGAATAATACAGACACTGAGAGACAGCCATGTCATCACTTACTTGTCATCGGGCAAGGAAGTGACAAAGAAGGGCTGGTTGTATTTGGGCGGTAACGTCAAGTTACTTGATTTCTTCTTTCCTAGAAGTGCAAGGCTGTGATTCTCATGAATATCTAAGCTCAAGGTATTAGACAACCTATGAGAAACAATGAATGGAAGATCTTTCAGACGTTCCAGATCACTGATTTGCTCGTGACGGATCTGCAGTCGAATTGTATAATCTCCTTTCTCCAGTTTCAGGGAGTACTGAAAAAGAAGAGTATTTGGGAAAAGTGGAGTTGAGACACATGAACCAAAGTTACAACGTAAGGGGACAGACAGTAGGAATGCCCCTTACACAGGGCTCAGTGGGTGAAGCACCATGAAAGTTACAACACACACATTTACACGCACACAACATCCCGACTGTGCGGGTGAGGAAGGCTGAGGGTCAGAGTCGTCACACGACCCGGCCAAGGTCACGTGCACAGTAGAGAATAAGGGCGCTGAAGGTGGCTTTGGCTCTGGAGCCCTGTACCTCTGACAACAGGCTACTCTGACACTCTCAGCTGAATCTGTCTCCACTCATAAAGGCAATGACCTCCCCCTGTTCATGGGTCTTCATCAGTCAGTTCAGTCGCTTAGTCATGTCCGACTGTTTGCGACCCCATGAATCGCAGCACGCAAGGCCTCCCAGTCCATCACCAGCTCCTGGAGTTTACTCAAACTCATGTCCATTGAGTCGGTGATGCCATCCAACCATCTCATCCTCTGTCGTCCCCTTCTCCTCCTGCTGTCAATCTTTCCCAGCATCA